GATTACCTCTCATAACTTTGTAACTGATCACAGTGATTTGTCAGATAAATAGTACCATTAAAACTTAATCACATTTATTAGTTACAAGCATCAAAGAACATCGGATTYTAYAGGAAAAAATAATAGGACAAATAAAGAGAAAATTATATATTACTGAAAAATATTTAATTGACATATTTTATATTATTAAAATAAAATGATGATCCATAATAATAATATTTATTTATTCATTCATTATTTTTTTTTGTACATGAAATATTATTGTTCATATATCATTATTTAAAATCAAATTTTATTATGCCATGCTTAGACAGTTTGATGATGCAATGACTAATGATGGTCTTCTTAAATTTGGCAGAACTAATGCACAACTATTACAAACACTAATTGAAAATAACCAAAAAATTTGTTGGAGGCTTGTTGGATACTGTTACACYACTCTTCGATTTTGTTAGATTTAATTTTTGACAGTTGAGCTTCTTAAGTCTTACGCTGCCAGGTATATTCCAACAGCACATTATAATTTTAGCAATTTGTTCCTGAAAAAAATCGAGGAGTACTATAACAATGATTAACAAAACGAGTTTAAAAAAGCTGTGTATTTAGCAGAACAAACTCCTAAAAAATTCTTTACACATCTATTAAAGGTGTAGTTTGAATTTGTTTATTTAGTCGATGCATTAATGTTTGTGCCAGTATGTCGACGTGTATAATACAATTTACCTGACCTTACCTATTCTAAAATTATSCAAAGCATTCGTATTTTATACTTGTAAGTATAATCTCGTAAAAATATACATAAAAACATCAAGTACCTATCTGCAATTCGACTATTAGTTATTAGTTTATGACATACAAACTAAATGGACTATCGATGTCTATTCTTTTCAGTGGCTGATGATAATCTCTGCGTTAAACATTGTTAGATATTCAAATTGAACAATACACATAGAGTCTTATAGCTAAGACATTAAAACAGACAGTAATTTTWAAAACAGTTTTCTTATAATAATTATATGACTCTGCGCACGACAGCAAAGCTCAGAAGGAAAAACATCTGTGTTTATCTAAATTCTTGAGTTTGATAAATTAGCCCAACAGACAACAGTTTACTCCTTGAATACGGTTAATATCATGATATGAGGACCTCGTAAAAATCGCTACTAAACGGAATTCTACGAGTCGCTGTAACAAATTAATAAAGGAACCGCGAAGTTGTATAGACTCTTCTGTTCTCTGACGATACCCTATTCATTACAACCGTTATTTACGGTCCGCTTATAACGAAAATGCATTATTTCTCGTGCGCTATTGTACGATTCTTGTGAATTACGTTTTCCAATATTGATGGTTAACACACACCATGCGTATAACGGGTCAGCCGTTAAAATTATTTTCCGTAAGAAATGTAATCCACACAAAACGATACAGTTGTCAAATAATATTATGTTAAATGGATTAAAGTAAAGATTTGACCTAATTACATGGCACATAATATAAATTGTGTCTGTGTATCTAAGCAGCAGTAAGTGTCTTGATAGGACGTGGAATTAATTAGTTATGCTCTAAAATGTAAAAGCCAACTTAACGTATGAATAATGCTGATATATGTATCCCGTTTACCAAAATATGCTTTTAAAAATATAGCTTAATTATTATGTAATTATATGATTTTAAAGCCAAATGTTAATGGGCGATTTATTCCTAAAATACCCATTATTAACATAATGTTTAAAATATAAAATAGTGAAACAAAAATACTAATGTACCTACCTATACTTCGCCTGCATGGCTATAATATAACCTACGTAGTAAGTATAATCACTATCAGAAAAAAACAAAATGAAAAATGAACTATTAAATATTAATTATGTTTCCCGTTAGACAGCTGCACGTTTTACTTTTCTTCAATTTGAACAACTATTATATGTCTTACATTTTCCGTGGAAATATCAACGTATTTTAAGTTCATTTACTAACTATACCTATCTAATTTTAAAACAAAAGTCCAAAATACAACGTACATTAAAACCGGACGAAATCCTAAGACATGCCACTCTATATATAATCGTACTACGCGTACAGGATCATTAGAGCATTTTGATATAATTAAGATATATAATTTTTTGACCCACCAATGAARAGGCGCAAAAGCATATAAATATCTGCCCTAGTTGTGTCTAACGGAGTGTGCACGATTTATATACCGTTCCGCGATAGAACGTCCCAAATACATAAAATGTTTATTATGTACGGAATGATACAATAATAATAATAATAATGCACTCTGACGGTATTCGTATTATATCGCATTTACCCGTTGAGATTTGCGCACAGGTTTATTTTTATTTTTTCGAAATTATCGCTATAATAATGTTAGCCATCACGGAYAGGAAGATGAGTTGGTATAGGTAGAAAGGTAGGTAAAAATACGTGTAACGTATGCTGTACTTATAACTAAACCGGAACGGTTTTTACGCAGTAAAATATTTTATATATCTATACACCTCACGCAGCATTGCAGTTAGACCCATATAATATTATTATGTTTTACCGTCGTTGGAGAATATGATTTTACGCCGTGGTCGTATCGAATCTCTAGATTCCAATAATAACGGTCATCATAATATAATACTACTACCGTAGTGAGCAATGCTCCTGTAGCTCTAAGTTAAGATGCGAAACGTGTCTAGCCGTTGATTTTATATTATTTAATTCGTATGTATCATATTATAATTATTTATATTATTATATTGTACAGATTCCACTTTGATATGCACGCGCTATTTATGCGTAAAATAATTAATCAAAATAAAATAATTCAAAATGAAAATTCGTATTTCAAATTGTATTGCAATCTTTAATTGTTCAATAAAAAAAAATTTAAATAAAAAAAAAATATGAATATTGATTTTATTTATTTAATTTAG